ACATCTGGCAGCATAACTGCTCAAAAACTACCTGAATGATAGCTATTTACGTATGTAAATGTGAAAATTTGACAAAAGACAGGAGATAGATGTGCCGCCAGCCAACACATTCGTGTCATGGCCGAGATTTCGAACGAACGAAGTTCAACTTATGATAATCAAGTGAGAAGTCCCAGAATGCGTATGTTGCAGAATATGCCGCTCGGTTCACCAGGATCCGGAAAGTCGATTGTTCAACTCGAGCCACAGCAGGTCGTCCTTCGAATGAAACCAGGTGATTACTTCGTTACGATTAGCTGACTAGAATATGCCCACCTACGTCTTCCTATTGAAGTTCGACTAGGAGGATAGCTGCTCCCACCCCGACTATCCCTGGGGTAGAGCTATGGCAGGATGGGATGCCGATGCTAACTCTACATAACAAATAACTAATACAAATATCTATTTATAAACTCAGTAATTGTATTTTGTATTACATCTACATTCTGTAGATCAAATAGGACGGAATTGCTATATGGATTGTTTCTCCAATCAAAATTTATTCGAAGCCCCATGTCAGATGGGGCCAGATCGAATTGTAAACTGTCGAGCGCCACACCTAATGCAATGCTTCTCTTATTTCCTGCTACCCTCTACCCTCTATTTCGGGAAACGAGAAGAGACGTGCGGACCACACACCACAATATACGACGGTTAAAAAAGATTAAAGAAAAAACCACTCTCTTCTTGGCCGTCGCTTGTGGAGTTTATGCTGCACTCAACGCTCCTCCTCCCGAAATAGAGGAAATGCTAGGTACTATTCTGAAGGATAGGCTGAGTTTTCTCCATTCTTGATAGCCCATACCAGATTATGAAAGCCATTGGATGGATCCTTCCCACACGACGGTGGAGAATATCGTTGAGATGGCTCTCAGTGCCGACGTGAGCATTCCTAGTGGACTGCTTTTTCATCATAAACTCCGCCTTCAGCACGGAGGTTTTCTAGTATGTTGCTATTTCCTATAGTAGCAAAAATGCAAGGAATAAGCTGCAGGGATAGTGATTATTTGCATTATCCTTGACAGCGGTGACTCCTTTCAAGGCTCCTTCTGAGAAGGTGGTTGTGGTTCTGGATAGACTCACAGGTCTACCTTCGGCTACTGCAATGGAGTCACAGATAAAAGCCATTTCTTTACTTTAGCTTCTGCTTAAAATGGTCGATTAGCGCTTGCTATAGATTCTGCAGTAACCTAAGATCATATCTTGAACCACTGCTTTCATTCTTCCACGTCGATGGGACTTTATGAGAGAGAGGAAAGTTGGTTAAATGGTGGTAAAGCAGAATAGGAGTAGATCTAGCGGCCACGTGACCAATATCATCCTTGAGCTACGATAAGGTGAGTGTCCTGTTCCAAGAGATGCCAGGGGTTGAGTCGAAGAAGAATTTGTGCCCATTTTTCTCGATGAATAATAGTTTAATGATTTCCAGGAGACACATTGATTGTGCCGTACAAGTACTTGCATCGCAAGCCACCTGCTGGTTACGATGTCAAAGATTTCCTGGTCCAAACGAGCGAGTATAAGAAACTCGGTATCAACCTGCAGTTCTTGGTCGATTGTAATGGGTAAGCTTTAGTAAGAGTCTCTATCGGGACACTTCTTTCATAGTGTTGATGGAGACGCGAGCGTTTTACCTGCCTCAACCGATTTATTCACCTTTACGAGGGGCCATTTTCTTTTTTGGAATAACCGAAATCGGGGCGTTATTTTGTGGGAACGAGCGCAGCCCGTCTAATAAATCCTTAATTACATAAGCAATGCTTCCAACGGAGGAAATCCGGGCTCAGCTGAGCTAACGGGAATCGGGAATGCTAAAAAGTTGTTTTCAATTTATGCATATTTTCGGACATCTGGCATTGGTCGAATATTTCAGAAAAGAGACCGAAACCAAGCAGTGTAGCGCTATCAAGGAAGGTCAAAAAATCAATTTCAAAATCAAGGTGAGTTAGAATTTGAATACGCCGGATAATCGAGTGTGCTAAAGTGATATTTCTTACGCAGTTTTTCTTGGAATCGCTTAGACAGTTTCTTAGTCAAAAAATCGAAAAATATTTAAGTGAGGAGATTTTCAACCTTTAATTTCTGCTATATGAACTGGTCGATCAAACGTTAAAAGTTAGGCCGTTTAGAATTCATAAGCAGTGACTGCGCATCTTCCGAGAGATTCCCCATATCTTATTTTCGGTTTTATAGTAGCGTATAGGTACTCACGCGTAAATTTCTTAGCGTTCCAATAACATACCATACCTTGACTCCAGCTTAATATTTTGACAGCTTGACCGCAGCACGCGTTTCTATTTATTTTTTGGCCGCGTGAAACAGACGTGATTTCGCGAGCGCGGCCTCCATGGTCCATTACTGGACCACGCGCTCGTCATTCTGCTAAGTGTCTATATGTGCGCTCTGGAAGAGAGGACCCAAAAAATGGGAGAGGTGTGTGAAACATTTGAAGCATTTGGTGCGTGACTGAACACTTTGGGACACTTTTACCGTGAGAATATAAAACTATTCGCAAACATGTCCAGACTTTTGAAGGATCTTGAGATCAGATTTGTGTCCTCAAACAATTTCTCTTCCGAATTCACAAGTATTTCCATGTCTCTGAAAGAGTTGACGATTAGAAAACTTATTCTAGTCATACCGTTCAATCAATAATCGCACAAGCGACAGCGTCAGTTGAATCATTTAAAGTTCATGGAATCGATAAACTTGCAGTTTCAGACTGAATATATCAACAGATGGACTTCAAGGGATAAAAACATGCATGAACTCGAAGTATCTCTGTGCCTCTCGTTTTTCTAGTTCACAATGAGTTACAATCTTTTGCAAGTGTGCTATCGATTGCGCGCTATTTGTTCTGTAGACGCAATCGCGCCGTGGCCAAAACAACTGTGAACTTTTTTGGCCTGTGATGAATGACGGAAGGAGTTCCGGATCGATTGGTCCATGGGATTGCGAAACAATATCATAATGGTTAAACAAATGAGAATGGATGTGCGAATAATAATCACGACGTTCACGAACCCTGAGAACTGTAGGCTTTCATTTTCTGAGCACATCAGGCTTAACTAAGTTCTTTTCTGATATCTAGAAGGTTTTCCTCTGATTGTATCCCCATGGGACCTCTTTTGGGTCTACGGCTCCAGTGCCACGTGAAATGTTATGGAATTGTTGCGAACAATCACCCTCTCTTCTCGTCCACCACTTTTTTGTGGTTTACGGTGCTGGTGAAAGTCCAACTTGGCACACTACAACTTGACCTCCAGAATTCGCTTCAAAATTGCCGTGGGACGTGGAGGAGGCGAGACTCGGCAGTGCCTGACTGTTAGTAAGGCACATTTGCGATTGAGTGGATGTGAATCGTACGGTTTGAACACAAGCAGTGCGACGATCTACCAGTGCGCTACCGTTTGGGTGGGATTTGAGCGCAGGCCTACGAGATTCTCATTGATCAACCTACCTTCATTAACGAATCTAACTTTAATTTAACATAACAAAGAAGAAGGAGCAGACCAATAAAGCTTCAGCGAGAGACGGGCACATGCCCCGCCCATAAGGGCGGCCTACGAAGTATATTTTGAAATTTTTTATATTTTGTTTTGCTTCTTTATTACATTTGTGCCAATTTTCAGAAATGTTACGATTTTCGAATCGAATAGCTCACACCTGTTCAGTCGCGGAATGTGCCTCTAAAGCAGCAAATTTCGCATTCCACGCCGCTATTTTCTTCCTCCTTCCATTCTCTTTCTTTTTTTCTTAAACCAGCCCCCACTTGTCCGCCTTTTCTAAGAAGCATCGACGAGTGATCGTGACTCTCCCTACATGCTGCGTGATAGTCTCGTTTGTTCGCATCTTACTCCTTGTCAGAAGTTCTGGAAAAATCATTTTGAATAATCCAGGCTTATTCCCAATGGGTAGTTTTATTTCTTGAGCAGTCTTACATTGAATTTTGACGTTGAAGAATGCCATTGAATGCGATGTCAGCAATGTCTAAGCCTTTCAACATTTTTTGCTTCACCCAAGAGCCAAACGAGCCGGCTAATCCAGGCAGATTTGTAAGAGGCAGGGTATGTTATTTAAAGCACTGTAGGGATTCTGGCGCTTAGCCGCCTTCCTTGACCAGTGGACGCCTTCTGAAAATATTCATTGACCACTTTCGAAAGAAGTCAAACTTGGGAACAATTCATTTGACTAATGTCACACCATCACAGCAGTCTCATCAACTCTCTGTTAAATATTCGTTATGTGACGTCATTTCGTGATTCTTAGAATTCTAGGTGACCCTGATGGACTGTCGTGACGGCGCCGACGTTGCCATTTCCGTCGGGGTGTACGGCTACACGACCGTCTCTGCTCTTTACATCACGCCGCTTTGCGGGTGTGAATGCGAGAAGCCTAGCCAGCAGGTCAGTCCGTGACTTTTTTTTACATCTGCAATGCCAAACGAAGTAGAACTTCAGACACTATTTCGTTAGGTTTACCAACCTTTCTTGCGGGAATTTAGCTCCTTGCATAGCATGACGTCTCCAAATTAGCTCCGCCTCCCAGCTATCCAATTAAGGCCGATGTCAGACTTTGCGAATCGCGCGATTCGCAAAGTCTGACATCGGCCTCACTGCCTCTAAGACTTTAAGAGGTACAACTAAATTCTCTAGCACGGCCAAGCTATGACGTTAAAAACCTTTCTCACCAGTATTTATCTTTTCAATCGATCAAACTTTCGTGCTACTTCAATGAACCACCCAGATGGGAAAGTGCACAGTTAGTGAATGATATGAGTGGGAAAAGCGCATCGCCGACTGCAGATATTTCCTCTTCTGTCAATCCCGGTTTATTTTCAACGAATACATTGTAATTTAGGAGAAGAATTCACCACTGTGCCACCAACATGGCAATCTCATCTGTGGCCAATGTGTTTGCGAATCGACTCGAGGAGGTGATCGATGTGAATGTCCATTGGCGAGCTATGGGGTGAAGAACGCGCTTGAATTGGAGGACCGATGCCGAGAGTGGGTTTCATTCTATTGAAGTATTTTTTGAAAAACGATTTCAATCGAATTAGCGATTTTTTTTTTCAGAAAGCCCGGTGCACCTATATGTTCCGGCAAAGGTTTGTGCAGATGCGGGCAATGCCAATGCAACTTGCAAACGGTAAAGAGTTGGAATTGAAATTATTCTTGGGACTATAAAACTAACCTAACCTGAACATATTTCCTTACGTTTGTTGAGCACATCGAGCGTTCCATTGCTGACGATTTTGCGTAAGCATTTAGCCCTCGTCTCTAGAAACATCCAAGCTTGAAGTCATATTCGAACGTTTTCTGTGCTTGTTCCTTGGCCTCTTGCCCTTATAGCTCCTGGAGGAACACAGTACGCGACCCTTCGTAGAATACAGTGTTCTCTTTTTCAAAGGCCGATGTCATAGTTTGCAACTCGAGCGATTCGTTAGCGGATCGCTGGATTCCAGCGAATTGAAAGTTGAACCAGCCAATCGAACTTCGCGCGAGCGAATCGACCGATGCACCAGCGACTCGACACTGTTCGAAAGTGGTGAGAAGGAAGTTCACTTTGAAGAACCACACTGCTTGAAAGTGGCGGGCCTTCCTTTGAACGTTTTGTCCCGCCACTTTCAAAGAGTGTTAAGTTGCTGGCACATAGTTCGACTCGCTGGTGCACCGGTCGATTCGCTGGCGCAACGTTCGATTCGCTGGCGCAACGCTCGATTCGCAAAGTATGACATCGGCCAAAGACATCGGTCACACTTTTTCCACTGTTAAATATACCGTACCATCTGCTTTATAGGCAAAACTCCTGTGATTAAAACTCTTCAAAGGACTAGACCTTTTAAGGAGTAGGGCGAAAAGGCTGTCTCTCATAATCAGATCCCTCAAGTGGTGTCATAGGTTTCCATCCCTCAGCATTAGTTGACGAAAAGGCTAGTGGGGACATCACAACTACACCACTTGCAGGATTGAATACGGTGCAAGGCAACCGAGCTTGCGTCTTAGAACCTACCGTAGCGTATGAAACGGCAATAGCCTCATCAGAATGGCAAACAACGCAAAGCATGACATCGCACTGTGCCAAGGGTATGGTGCACGAAGAGAAGTTCCCCAAAATTCTCTACGAGGTATCAAATTCGCGGCGCACCCCATGGAGATTTAATAATTTCTCATTTCCTCCTCTGACCAATGAATAAATGACGTCGACTTTCGTTGTCCTACTCAAAGATGTTTGCCGCAGTTAATCACAACATAAGAACTCTGACCAGATCGAGGTGTGAATGGTGTAACATATCGGATTTCACTTCTGTCACGGCACCTCGATGATTTCTTCCCAACACTTTCGAGATACTACGTGTGCTATGTAAAAACGGTTACTTCTCATTAGTCTGCAGAAGTTTAAAGAGGCTAAAGGCTGGCAAAAATTCATAAACATACACTTTCCTCCGAAACGCATCACAGATTTGGTAAAGGCACGAGTGGGATTGGTCCTTGAGGGAATTCCTTTCTTGAGTAAGGTAGTAGGAATAGTAATAGCAGGAGTGCTGGTACTGTCACGACTTGCAAGTGCGCGACAAAGAAGCTAATGCCTTCGGCTGACCGCTGCCATTCTTATTAATCACACCATACGTGGTGTCCGCACTCTCTCGCTTATACGTGCTCTCTCGCCTTTTTCCCTTCTTCGCAGCGCTGTATCGCTCCGTCGTACCACGATCAAACTAACGGTGACAATTACAGTGTTTTTCTTATGGTCTTTGTTTTTCTCCACCAACATTCCTAACGCTTCTCGGCCCATTTTCGAATAAAAGACAAGCCAACTCAATAGCGACGAGCGCCTTGAAGCAAGAAGCTGCGACGATGGCTAGGTCGAAATGAAGCTCGGCCGATCCATCTTTGAAGCCAACTATTTTCCACTGTTTCAAAACAGCTCCTCCACTCATCTGGCGTCAATTTTGGCACGATTTAAGCTCAACACTAAAATGACTGAACAAGAGTATGTATTTAGTTATTCATCACTATTACTACAGATCAGCGGTCGCTTCTGTCAGTGTGACCATTTGTCGTGTCCTACTGGAGCAGATGGACGGCAGTGCAGCGGAAACGGTGTGTGCGAATGTGGAACGTGCAGGTGAATTAGACATCGTCAGCTTCTTACAAGGCTGTTATACTTTTTATTTGACGTGGTTATGTTCCTGTGTCGTGATGAGTATGGGAATCGAGAAATACTCTCTTTGAAAGTTAGTAGGCTCATTATGTAGACACTGGGTTCCGATAACTAATTAGTTCTAGACCTCTTAGTTTAAGTTAGTAAATACAATGGGTAGAAGGCGGAGCGGCTTTGATGACGTCCTTAAATGTCATCACTGGACCAAACCCTTCGGCCCGCCAGGGGTAGGGAATATGGCTAGAACACCTCGAGAAACTCTTCCACCTATCATACCCAATGACGTCATCAGAGACGCTACGCCTTACAGCTTTCGCGTTCACTGCCTTCAAGAGAATATTCAAAAAATAATTAAATAAGGTTTTCAGATGTGAAGAAGGATGGGAACGAGATGACTGCTCGTGTAGTACAGACAAAGGCACGTGCATGGAAGGCGGAGTGGGTTTAACTATTTCAGCTAATGAAGTTTAATACCAGCCCCCTTTTCGTTGATCATAGTGTTTCGGTGGTGAAGCCTTAACTAAACCATAAACCTGTAAGGTAGCGAAGCAACCTGCTGTTCTGTGAGAAACAGTAAAAAGTTCAGAAGGACACATTTCGATGAAATTGAAGCTAGTACCAGCAACAGTTTTTGCTGTGAGCATAATACGTGTCCATTCTCACAATTCTCGCAAGGATGTGAATCAACAAAATCAAATCAAAAAGCAGTTGAGTATACGCTGTCCCAGACAGCGTTCCTTATAGAACCATTGCCTAAATCACTATCGATGTCAAAGTGACAAGTAGCAGTCCCTGTTGTAGATAATGATGCATATTTGCTATTTGAGGCGCGCGGTTGCGATGCGGTCCATCACTGTCTTTAGCATGATTCAATGGATTGTATTGTAATAAGTACTGCTGAACGTGTGCCCGCTCAGCTTGAGCATGTCTGCACTGCCCCCCCCCCCAAGTCCATTGTTTGTCCATGTCTGCTCCTTTGTTAGTGGAATTATACTACAATATTCACATCTTTTATCTTCATTGCCTTAAATATAAGTCGCGAACAGTGAATAGATGACAGTAATTTCAAAAATGTTCCGTGTTATTTATATGTTATTGATTTCTCTGTAGACCGAATGCTCTGGCAATGGTCACTGTGAATGTGGAAAATGCGTCTGCGATGAAGGCTTTAATGGAGCCACTTGTGGCATAGCTGACGAGGTGACTTGAAAGGGCATTACCCAGTGGAAATAGGTAGCAATGTCGGTAGCTGTTAGAGTTTAGAAGTAGCTAGTAGAACCTAGTGTAGCCCATCTAGCAACCTGTAGCAGACTAACATGCTCCAGCAATCGAAACCTTCTAACTAATTATAATTGCCCTTTGAATTGAGGTTGTGACCGCTGCACCAACGGAACCGGAGGAAGCCATCGAAGAGGAGCCGACGGAAACTGCGGAGGCTGATCTTAAAGAGGACGAGATGGTGTGTCTTTAGGTCACGCATAGCTCTCTTGTAACAGTTATCCTTGAACATGACTGAGAAATTTTTTGGCTATTTTCAAGGCCGAAGCTGACGACAAAATCGACGCCGGAGCAGCTGATGATACGATTCCGGAAGCGACCGAGAGTGACTATTCAGCGCCTGAGCCTGGCACCCCCGAAGAGGCGAAATCTTCAGCGCCAGCTGTTCTCGTGTCACTCGTTTTTGTTAGCATTGCATCTATGCTCATCTAGATTTTGTTCCCAAAATGGCTTAATTAATGACAGTAAGAGTTTAATTATGACCGAGACGTTGTGCGTTACGTTAACAGTCGGTATTATTGAAGTTATCCGTTTTCATATTCCTTCCTTTCGAACTTGCGCGTAGTGCTGGCTAGAACGAGTGCCTTTCATGTCAACTGTTATACCTCGCGAATCCAGTTGATGCCGTTCAATTTCACGGTTTTTGTCACTTGTCGTGTCGATGTGGGGGAAAAGCGTGTTTTTCCCTATGAAGTGTGCTCACACATCACAATGTCGTTGTAGGTGATCTGTCTCGGCTCACATGATCAGTCGATCCCCATCGACCCTCCAAGTGATGTAGGTGCTGAGAGAGGACTGCTCAGCTCATAATGGTGTGTTCCAATGATACACGACGGAGCCGTTGTCATCTTCGTACTGTTTTGTATATAAATATCTGCTCACATTTTTCAAATAAATTTTCGAAAATACTTGTTTGTTGCATGGCGTGAATCGCATTTGACCCAACCCAAGCCTGGAACCTAGAGAAGTTTGTCAACAACGTGGTTGTCCTAAGGAGGTAGTAATCCTCACAAAATTTCAACTATAAGGCAAGCAGTTAGGTCTGGGTTATGCGCTCGGAAATGAACGTGTCTCTGCCAGTTGGTCCCTCGAAGAGAGAGTGAGACAGAGGGAGAGAAGGAAAGAAAGACAGACAGACAGACGGACACGCAGACACACAGACAGACAGACACACGGACATACGGAGGGACGGACAGAAAGAGGAAGAGATTTAAAAAAATCTATGATCGATAAGAGCACAACATGGTAAGGGCTTGCGCCAAGCCCGTCCCTCATTGGGTAACCCTCGCTTCCGGTATGGTTAATACACTAAATAGAAAGCATCAACCAATGAGGGACCCGTAGGTGCAGGGACGAATTAGGGTCAGCCGTCTGCTGGTAGATTACGGGGGAGTCGTATTTAGTCTACGGAGGGATGGAAGGGGTATAAGAGAAGCGGCCATATTCTCGCTGATGTGGGAAGGCCAACGCCGCAGAGGCTGTTCCACCCGATTTTGCAGCTTTCACACTTTTCAAGTTCGTTTTTTTTCACATCAGTAAGACGATCTTCCATATTTTTGTGGTGCCAGTGAGATAAGGATACTCTCGTTCTTTGAGATATTTGTGACGATGCCTACTGGAGAAGTTCTATATGAACAGAAATCATTACAATGTATTTACTTTGAAAGCATCACTGCTGACTTCACACCCGAATAAAATGTTTTCCATGAAGTCACCGATCGATTCATGGAATGAACAAAAAAAACGATTCGTTTTGTTAACAGAAAGAAACAGTAAAGAAGCCAAAGACAGGGAGCGAGGCGATTTATTGCAGCGTTGATGAGAGATGAGGCGTGTTGAGCAAGACACATAGCGAGAACCGCATTCAGTACCTGAAATTGGGTCGTCAGTGGAACAGGTCTATGAATGCAGGAAACCGAAATGATAAGGTGGCATTGAACATAAATTTCTATTAGGCAATATTTTTATGGCAGCAAAATGCGCCAACAATGTTGTAAACATGAAGGTAAACACTGCAAGCAGGTATGTTAAATTTCTTGTTACTTACGAGGTTGTTTGGCGGGAAAATTTATTTCATATTCAATTTAATTTGGATTTTATTTTATTTCAAAGGCCTGAAGTTTCGACTGAATCGTCGTCTTAAGAGGCCGACGGTTCCATGAGCAGAAAAGTCCGCTGCCACACTAGAGCGCTAGTCAATTGTAAGGTCAAGAACAGTGTTCCTTGGCTATTCCGCGCAGGATCGCATATCTTTGGGACTTTTCCCTCAGTTTATAATTTTTTTTCAAATCAAATCGGTGAGCTTTGCATAGTAACTACTGATCCTTGCAACCACTCATCATCTATAGAAATTGGGCTGACCAACGCAGTATTTCACGGGGACTCGAAACAGCAACCATGCGCGTAGTAGCGGCCCCTCTTGTCACAACACCATCTTCTAATAAATATTTTTGATTTTATTCTTAATCTGTAATTTAGTTACCATTTACAGTCGTTCTCTTCCTCGCCCCTCACTTTTTCGTTAGTTTGATTACATTGAGTCCAACTGCCTTCATTTTCATTCATTGTGCTAACATGAAGGAAGCAATCGTAGAGCTTCGGACTATTGCAGATTTCATTCCAAGACTTTTTTCTCCTTTCATTTTTCAGTGTTTTTTTTCACGCCTTAGGACCTACTGTTGATTTTTCCACGCATCATAGTGACTCTGGCGCGCCCGTATTCTTTACTGAGGGTAATAATAAATACATAAATAAAGATAAATAAATCTACAAATGTACAATTTAGTAGTAAAGAAATTAGCATTTCTGCGCTATTCCCCTGTCTAAGTGGTAGCACCTTTGCCTACGGATGTGGTACACACGTGCACCAGCAATAGCCCAGAGGTTAAAGGGTAACTTTCTGCGACACAATGCCACTGAGTCAGAAGGAATGAGCCAATGGAGAGTTGGGCTACTTGCCCCCCCCCCTCCCGCACCCCGCATCCTCTCATCTTTCCATCAATTTGCACCATTGAAAAGAAAAAAGGCAGATTAATTGTGATTTGGGGATTAGACGAAGTAGAGGTGCAATTGTGCAAAGTAAATGAGCTTGTTCGAATTTTCGAAAGGTCAGGTTAAGTAAAACAACATTTTTGCGGCGACAGAGCATTTTTAACTTTTTTTTTGAAAATATTGGTCTTTTGGTCTCGACATGGCCTTCCGATGCGGTCTCTACCTCTACATTAAGTAAGCCTCACCCATGAAAATGTGTTGAGATCAGAAACGAGGTGGTAACTGGAGAAACTCGTCCGTGACGACGACCGTCGAACGCCGACTGTACGAGTCCATCGGGTCAGCGGCTGTTAATGCCGGCTTCTCCGCTGTCCCTTGTACCGCCTACAACAGGAGTGAGAATAATTTTCAGATTAGCTCATAGAACATCACACAAAGGCAACCCATAACATGAGTGGAATAACATCTAGAAAAAGAACGATTTCTACGGATAAACTGACCTTTTTTCGCTTAACTAGTATCTTAAACACAGATAACTTCAAGCTGACGAAATAAAGTTCTATAATTAGATATAGAAGCAGTAATAGTAATAACAAACTCGGTGGCCAAGACCATCCAAAAACCCATACTATTCGATCAACTGAAATCACATAGATCACTAAATCTCATCAACAAATCATCAAATCACAAAATCGCTGAATCTAATACTCGAATGATTTTTTACCAAAAATGATTATTGACTCAGGCCTCAAAAAGGGTTGTGGGTCAGGAGGTAACGACAGCGGTCAAGGCACGGTAGCGGCGTCAAGGTTGGCGCGTGCGACATATCACCACAATCCGTGTGCCTTGACTGACTTGACACTTGACCCCACCACATCACACCGCCTTGGGGGAGTCACCTTGCCCAAATACGAGTTCGAGGATGATTGAAGTGGACAACATGTGCCTCTTTTTGCTGACGAAATGAGCATTTCATTTTTGCAGTCACCCCACAACTGAGCCTTGCGCAGGATCTGCAGCTTGGCCTAGGGGATGGCTTGGGATGGCCGTGAATATCTTACGAGTGGTGGCTCAGGGCGGATTGCCCTACACAGCATAATCGAATTTCGTGCCATCAGGCCAAGCGGGAAGTCGCACGGGTAAAGCTGCAAATCTCATTCATGCTTGGTGGTGGTTAAAGAGGAGCGATGGCTAGCACATCTTTGTCATATCCCTTACAAAACTCTACCGTCCGACTTTTATGGCTTTGCAACCTTTTTTAATCGATCTATATTTGTCACTATCAGTGGGTTCTCTGGCAAAGAAAACTGTGAAGACCATATTGTAGCACACAGCAGGGTTTGCACTTTTACAATGACGAGAAGAAAGACAGGCCAGTAGAGAAAACTGGCCCTTGCAAACAAGAGGCGCGTGAACAGTAGGTTTTCATGGTGAGTTATTCCTAAGAAACGGAAGGAGTTTAGTAGCTTCTCAACAAAAAAGGCTTAGTCTCAAATCTGATCGGCGTAATTACATATTCTGCATTTACGAAATGTTCACGATTTTGAACGTTTTTTTTTCGCCGTTCTTGAAACACCTATCAGCGTTTGCCGGAGAATAAGGAACCTTTTCTCTCGAGGAAATATAGTCTTAGAAAATGTATAAGATGGATTTAAGCGCTATCACAAGCGGGAGCATTGTGATGGCAGTACACTTTGCTTGAAATACCTCCTTTTTAAAGGGTCGAAAACAAATCCTCAGGCGGGAGAGGAGATCCCGCCAGAGCAATTTTCATTTTTTGAGGAGTTTCTGCTGCCCCTCAAGCTTACTTCTAAAGGGTACCCGCGTATCTTGCAACAGCGCCGGTTTCAGACTCTGAGAGTGATAGCAGGTCAAGCGGCAGCACTACAATTTGTAACAAAAGTAGAATGCATGGCGCAGTATGGTCAGAAGCAATTAACTGACAACAAGAAATTCCAGTTTCCTTGACAGGAAAGCAAAATTCTATGAAAAAAGTCTGAATTTGTGTCAAAGCAATAAAAAGTGCACTTACTTGTGACTCCTATGATAGCCGTTGCTATGAACAGTGAAAACACTGACATTGCAATGTAGGGTAATAAAAAGTATGGCACAACACATCGAATTGCCAAAAGTGAGACTAGATTCATAATTAATAATATCACCTGCAAAAATGAACAATACACGCTGTACTAAATTATCAGTATCCACTGTATGTTACAAATGTTACTTAAAGGCAATAGCCACGGTATTTTTATGTCAAGCAAATTTGGATGTGTAGATGTCAGCGAAGAGGAAACCAAGAGAAACGGCCAAAATTCAAGAAATGGGGCCTTTGTCCTGCTCGACTTCTTTGAATGAGTTCACGATGGTGGGGGTCAGGCTAAGGGTTATGATAGAAGATACGACACGGAAATTTAGGAATATATGGCCGAGTTGAATGAAATGCGTCTTCAGACTGAAAGATTTGCGACGTAGCATTTTCATTTGTTCTTGATCCCATTTGAAGGCGGGGTCCTTTTGGAGGAGGAGTCAACTTCAGATATGAAATCTAACCGCGTTTTTGCTAGCGCACTTTTTGCCGTTCTTAAGCCACACACATTTTGCCCTTGGTTTCAGCTACCACTGTCCACTCTCGTACAGAAGTGTGTAATATTATCGTAACCACTGCCTCTAATAGGTGTACTTTACGCGATTCTTCTAGATGGAACGGATTATTTTCGTCTAGTGCCACTCTGTCTGTGGTGCCTTGACGGAAACTCTCCTATCCTGAGTTACCTTAGGCGTTTCACAGGGTGAGTGAGCTTCCATAGGAAAAATCGATAAATAATATTATTAATGAGAATGTTGTCTTCACTTGTGTTCTATGGAGGCTTACATACGTCAGTTCAGTTACGTCGAAAACAGCTGCTAGCTAATTTGCATGGGAGTTTCTTATGTTATGCAGGTTCATACAGATGTTTCACATGTGATCCAGAAGGTCCAATTACAAGAACGAAAAGGCTTTTTTGCGTTTACGAGTGGAACGCGGGCAGCGCGTCTTCTATGCAAGCCTTAGCCATGCCAAGAAGCACAGGCCCGGGTATGAGTCTGTTGATGCTATGTCCCTCCCCCATTGTGAATGTAAAAGCACGCTGTAAGAAACAAATGCTATCTTCTGAATATTTTCTCTCGTGGGAGAATTGGGTAAATACCAAACAGATACGTGGCGAATGTACAAATTGAAAGCTGAGTTGAAATTATGGGCCGCGATCAAACTGGTGTTTTATCCTGTTCGTAAATTAAGCAATAAGCGCGGAAAGAAGCATTGCCGAAAAAAAGCATAACAGAAAACAGTAATACTTTCCCCGCTAGGCTGATCATGGTATTACGGAGAAAGCAGCACTGTGGGGGAGGGAAAACCCAAGATAGTTTGTAGTATGCGAGAGAGCGCAGACGCCACGTGTGCTGTGAATCATAAGAATGGCAGCGGTTGCAGAGCGGAGACTCACCTCTCTTGGTGCGCACTTTCAAGGTGCGACAGTACTATACTACAGATAGGATTCCTTCTCAGAGAATCGTCCAGGAGAAACCACCGAGTTACGGGCCGCAGCATTGACGGCAGCATATGCCGACACGCCCACTAGTCTCCGACTGGCTGGCTCGTGTCTGCACGCAGTACCTTTGTGGTGGTAGCCAATCACGGACGAGTGGGCGTGTCGACACTGCTGCGGCCCGTAACTCGGTGGTTTCTCCTGCACGATTCTCTGAGTACCCCACTCAGTGAGAGGCTCCTCTAAAGATCTGATCACGACGTAGTGCCTTCAGGTAAAACGGCCCACTGATGGTGTAAACGGTAGTACATTAATTTCCACGGAAGTGCGAGGTGTTCTACTCATAATTTAGCATTCGTGTTATAACTTTCGCAACGCAACTCGTAGCGAATAACAACAGTTATCAAATCAACTGGAGAGCTTACCTGTACGGTGACGATCGGTATCAATAATTCCCAACTAACGATTTCAGAAAAGAAGGCATGTGATGAGTCATAGACAGCTTCACCTTTTGATATGTAGCCAATTGTAAAAACTAATGATTGAGCCAATACCAACGCTTCAAAAGCCTGAAAATGACAGTATTTCGACAGAGCTTGCTTTGATGGAAAATGAGTCGTTAATCATGTATTTTTGGTTATTTTGTTTAACTATATTTTTTGTTGATGAGGAACATTGAGTAGGGGAAACCTAATTCTCATAAAATAAGGAGAACATCCTGCCAACCAAATCGATACATACCTAATCCATTTTTCGGATTTGCAGTGGAGTCAATCGTCTGCTGAACTAATTTAACAAGGGGAGGGGATGGGGTGGGCGTATCTGTGCTTTGGCAGCCGAACATAATCGGCTCGATTTTTAGAAAAGACGGGGAAGAGGGATTTTTGCATGGGTCCACTGAAAAGTATTTCTATGCCGGAATTTGCCAAAAAAGTGTAAAATTATCATAACATTGTTTATAAAATCAACTCTGCACAAAGTTGGCGCTGTTTCTTCTCGCCAATTGTCTCGGAGCTGGGCAAAAGTCGGCAACTGTTTCCAACGTTTTAAAATCTTCTGACACTCCTCCCTTCTCTCACAAATTTTCTGTTGCAATCATGAACAGCACGTGTAGTATCAAACCCACCGTTGCTGGCTCATCCATAGTGGGGAACCAACGAGCGGGTGCGCGACAGGAAGCTCGTCGCGCGACAAGAACTCAGCGACTGCGGCCGAGTCGCAGCCAGAGTCAACCCTGCGTTGCACAGTTCGCAACGGCACGTTGAGAGATCCTCAACGCACGCTGTATGGGCGGAGACGCAGACGGCTCGAGCATGTGAGTGTGAATGTTCGCGGGAGAGAACGTGTCTAATCGGGCGAAACTGCGCAACGTGGCCGTTGAGAACTGCAACGCAGGGTTGACTCTGGTCGCAGCGCGAACTCTGGTGATTTCGTGTCAAGTTGGACAGAATGTACGAGTCGCAGCGCGTGCTTGTCGCTAAACATTCGGACAGCACGCGCTGCGACTCGTCGCTCACTGGTTTCTTGCCGTGCGACGGGCCTGTTGTCGGTACCCCAACGGGGAAACAAGAGGCCTTATTAGGTGTTCCTAATGGATTTATTTGCATTATCGCCACTGATGCATTATTTGGCATCGCTCGTTTCAACTGTCATTCCAATCCAATCCTTTACAAACCCCCCGCTTGAAAAAAAACTCAAAATCAAGCCCACTAACTATTTATTTTAATGGAACTTTGCATATTTCGAATGATTTCTGTTTGAAACAGACGGAGTTGGACCAAAATGCAAACAAAGAAATAGCCTACCATAGCACAAATACAGGCGTTCTTCGGACTCATGCAACATGGCGTTCTGATCTCTCCCATCAGTGGGAAACTGCAACAGAAGAGCATGAAAATAACGAAGGCATCTTGTAGAGAGGAGTTGACGAGAACCACGGCCAGTGCGACACACAAAATCATGGAGAAAAAAATGATTGCAGTTATAAGAATATAAGAAGGTGAAAAGAAAAGTTTTCAAAAGAGAGAGCAACGGTCAAATGTTTACGGCGAAACGCTTTTGGTGCATTTATTTTTTCTCCTTGAAGGCAAACTCCGGGATAAAACGTGAGAGTTCGCTGTACAAATATGAAGCCCTGGGTGCTAACTGAATCGAATTTGAAGTTAAAAGCAGAGTACACCTCCAAAATATAGTTTAAAATTATACCTTCCTTTTTGCTACTTACTTACAAGCCGGAGCTGGGTAGATAACGTGTATGGACGTGCTCATAGCAACTGTTGGCTTTATGCCATCAACTACTCGGCTATAGCAACTCAGCGATAAGAACTGGTTTCTTCCAACTTTCCTTATTTTTCTGTTTATTTGCGCTTTTTTGTTTGTTATCTTATTTTAAAAATTTGATTTTCATTAGAATGAGTGGCAAGGTCTCCTGTAATGGCCGTAGCATAGGCTTTAATATTGAAGTTGACAGTTGTAATCCGCCACCTATCCTCCTACGACCTTCCAAATAACAACTCAACATCTAGTGTTCCATTTGGTTGTCTGAAAGGTCGCATGGAACAGTGGGCGGGATCGATGGGGTTGGAGCGGCGCCAAATGCTCCAACCTAGGCTCCTGCTCGGCTCCTAGCGCCTGAACCTTGTCAAATCGCCCCGCCACTTTTGCACACGGTCTGCTCTTGCGTACTGCTGCATATTTGACAGGAAAAACTTAAATTTCAGTATAGTATTAGTTGTTTGTGTTCGAGCTTCTGAGATTGATATACAACTTTCTTCCGGCTTACGTTTCGGAGCACTAGCCTACTTCGGATCCTGCAAATCGAAGCATGTTCTTGAAACAATTAATCCAAACGCCATTTCAGATTACAAGAAGAAAAACTAGGGGATAAAAGCTATGAACGATAAAACCTAGAACCATGAACCTAAATTTCGTCAGAAATCCCGAACATTGCCTTTAAAGGCTAATATCAACTAGAGGATTTGCCTTCGAATGTCTATCTTTGGAACTCGAAGACTCAAAAAACTCCAAAAGACTCCTTGTATGTATCAATATTGGATCAGTTCCAGCCAAGAAAAAAGAAACAACGCACGAGAAAATGTTACGACTCAAGCCACAGAGGTAAAGGAAGGTGTAAGTGTATTGTGATGAAAAACAGTTCGCTCTGATAAACACTGCCCGATCGCACTATGATGGTCAATTGAGAAAGAAGTTTTTGTGGTTATCGCTAGAAATAGTATAGAATAGAATAGGAATAAGCCTTTCTTGAGGTAGCACAGGAAAAAAATTGGTTTCCGTGCTCACCTCATTTTTAGCATTTTGTACTGAAAAATGGTTTAAAATCTGAAAGTGTTGATAATATTGCCGAGATTCAAATAAGAAATTGGATGTTTGGATGCTTCTCTCGAAAACAGATAAATAGTAACATAGTAGTAATAAACACAAACATAATTAGCAATGAATAGAAATAAATATTGCTAGGAAGAGTATTTCCAAATGGGCTTCTCCAATTGTGTTAGTAGAGAAAGGTGAAATATTGCAAAGCATCACCTTTTTACAGGACCTTCAAAAACTAGCATCATATATAATTTTGAGCATTGTAACCAAGAAAAGCCTCATCGAGCACATTTCTGGACAGCTGCTACCGGGGTAGCTGCACGGAACCGGAAACCTTCGATCGAAAAACGCCTTTCAAGTGAAATCTCAGATGAATGCGAGCTTATGGTGCTCACAGGAAGGCTTTGCCCCTGTAGGCTGCCAAATGGTTAGAGAAGCCAAGAATAGAGTTCCCTGAAACACCTCCTCGAGCATTGCATTTTCTCTATGACCAGTTTCCTTCAAATCCTGATTATGTCTAAATTTTTGTGAACCCGCACTTCAATCAGGTTTAAAATTACAAAACAGAACCTATGTTGACCTCTGGTTTCGTTTTTGTAGAGAAAACCGGTATGAAGAGAAAACAAGTTTTTCATGAGAAACTATTCAGTAATTGCTATTGACCGTTACCGTGAATTGGTAAAGGTTACTGCACCCCTTCCACACTATCGTACGTTTGTACAATCGTTTGTATTGAGGCCTTTTCAATGAGTAGTTGGCAAAATATTTCTAGCAGTAGCACTTTGGGGTCAGTCAGTATTCAAATCCCTTTCCTGCAGTGCAGAATTCCTTGGCCGCCGGAATCCATTTACCATTTTAATACGGCGGCCAAGGAATTCTGCACTGCAGACTACACAACACAAGTGACGACGGCCTCCATGTGTGAAGCGTGAGGTAAACACGCATCTGGACGCCGGATGCAAACTGTTACGGAGCTGTTGTCAACCAGCGCGTGGGAATCTACACAGATATGCACGTTTTCGTATTGCTAAGACTAAGTCTTCAGAAGAAAGGAAAAATGTGGGTGCAGCTCTCAGACAGCGCTGCAACACGCTGATATCCCCGGCCCCGGCTGTTATCGCTACGGTAGTGAAGTGAAAGAAATGTAGGGATTGCAGACAATCGCTTAGCGCTTATCAGCTTAATTTTGATCATAGCCATGCATTCGACTCACTTTCAAGATAGTAGCACCTTCAAATGCATTTCTGCCCCTGGTGGGTTGGAAGGGCAGCAGAGTACAAGTCATTGTTTTTTCTTCAACCGAGACCGATAATATTTCATCGGCCATGAAATGAGATCGCAAGGCCATGTTGCCTTAGTGGGATTCCTTCCGCGTTTCGATGCGGGGACAAAATGGACGGAACCGCCTCCGCCCACTTCAATGTAGTAAAAATCATCCAGTAAAGTAATTTTGATGGAAGAAAGCGTGTCATAGCCGACATTGGTATAAACCCTACATCAACTTGAAAATCTAGCGAGGACCACTGAGATATGTAACAGTAACTTACTGCATCGAGCACAGTAATCGTCCGATTTGAATTACCCAACACACTACCCTAGAAAAACGTTCCATGGTTAAGCTCGAGCGTGATCTTTTGATGGTGCTATTTACTCTTGCCATAGGGAAATCATTCAGCAATCTAGTTCTTTATTTGAACAAGATGTGAACATGCTTTCGCTGGTAAAAAGAGGCTAAAACGCTTCGAAAACGTAGCGGTAGAATTCAAAGAAGCACCTAGAATTTCTGTTCTCATTTCCATATCCGTGTGGGGATAGGATGGGGGGAGGAGGCTGAGTAAAGCGGCCGAAAAGTGAAAAACAAAAAAAATAATGACTCAAGAAAGGAGGGACGAAGAAGGATTAATGGATATTTCAAAAAACATCCGAAATCTAATGAATAAAAAACAGAAAACAAGAACCAGAAGACAAAAAAGTCCAAATTCCTATCACCCTCTCACTCCATGCCCAATTTTCGGAGGAGAAATGCATAGGAGCGTGGCGGCCACAGAGTCAGGTAAGATAGGAACAGGCATGGAGGTGAGGATGGTGGTTGTGGGTAGAGAGGAGGGGGTGAGGGCATAGCCGGGGTGACCCCCTCACGTGTAGTGTTGAAGGGCTTTGTATTTTCAGAGAGAGATTCATCAAAAAAAATTAGAAAATCAGAACAATCAGAAAATCATAAAATAACATTTTTGAGATTTTCCTCAGCGTTGCGCTTGAACCACTTCAAAAATCAAATTTTTTCTTTATCTTTGGTTTCCGATAATAAATATGAAATATGAAAATACGTGGTCCTGAACAAAAAAAGAAATAGTACACTGAGGATGTTAAGGTTATATACGCTGAAGATACTTTTATCACATATATTATAGATACTTTTATTTTATTAATCCAACTTTGAATGGAAGGTTAAATAATCGTGGAACAAAAATATAGCACGTGAATGTTCCATCCCCCGTGGATTGCGCTAACCTACAGGAAAAACCTGCGTTCAAAGAAGGGTAAAGGGTAAGGAAATGGAATGCAGATATAGTTATGAATTGCTCGTAGCAAAGATAAACAGAAAATGATTCTATTCAAAAAAGCAAATAAGAAGCATAAATTTTTGTAAGCGTGGAGGAATACTGGATAAGAGGGCGGAAACAAGTGCGCAATTCCAGATTCCAACAGTAAAACGCGCAAATAATACGGGGCCGAGCCGACATCATTGAGGGTTCTGTGTCAACAGAGCTGCTAGTGTTCTCGAACCACCTCAAAAATGTGCAAAACATCTGAAACCGGAAAAATTTCGTGATTAAGAAGCCTAGCACCTCTGTGACCATTGACTAAGGGATTTCCTCTTTGGGATATCTCATCTTACCCATAATGGAGTTTCCCTTCTGAGCCAACTTGAAGAGTGGAACCGATTGTTACGTCTCTCCTCGCAGTCGGCCATACATGACTACGAATGGAATGGGTTTGGATTACTTGCGTCGTGATTCAGACGTCATAAAAGGGGCTGGTATTGAGCACAACATAGAAGAACGGAACAAAGACGACGAACGTACAAATGCAGTGAATTGATGGACGACGGCCGACATCATTTTCGATGTTAAACAAAACTGAAAACGAAATTTATCGAACTACACATCTCTTTTCGGCAAGCCGTGTGTTAGGGCGATTTTTTTCAGATGAATTTTACAAATGCAAGGGAAGAAAGATTTTTTCAGACTGACTAAGACCGATGGTTTCCCTCAAGGTTAATGGACTTCATAAGAGTGCTGGGTTATGGACCAATCTTCCATAGAGCAAAACAATGCCCGATGGCGTAACGTGTAGCGCACTTGCCCGGTAAGCGAGAGGCCCGGATTTGATTCCCGCCTAGGATGAAAGTATTGTCCATAATCCTGAATTCTAGTGCCATTCGCAGCACGAACTGTGGCGTTAGAGCCACAAAAGAATCACGAATCCTTGAAACAACAGTTGACAAACAAAATTAGGTAAATTTCATAGGGGTTATGTTAATAAATTGATAGTCGCGATAAAATTGGTTTTACATCATAACCCATTTTTTATGCGTTTTGATCACCAATCTTCTCTGAATCATAATTGCTAGATAACGTTTATACGCAGTAAGTCAGTGTTCTCAAAAAGCTGGGAAAAAACCGTGACTTCGACTGCCATTTGTGATTTTAAAGCCGCTTTTAGCGTTTCGAGCCTGTAGAAATGCAAAATCACTTCATATAAATAAAAGCTGATCATCAAGGCCAGCACGAGGATATTGATTGTATGGAAGCCGTGAAAACAAAAGCAAAGATGAAGCAGGTGGAAGGGTTAGCGTAAAGTTGGCGTGAAAGCAGCTAAGAGTTAAACAAGCAAGGCTAAGGAATCAGTTACTTGCAAGATTTGAAGCCAAATACGTACGAGGCACAACAATCCCAAAACGCGAATGTTTGGCTCGAAAGTCTATTTCATAATTTTTTGAAAAAATAATGGAGAATTGCTAAAAGTCCATCAACCCTGAGAGTAGAGATCGCTGTGAATGACTTCTTTGTAAATCTAACAATAAGTAAGCAAATAATTGAATAAATAAACAGGTAGATAGACAAGCAAATTTGAAGAAGATATGTTATAAACGAGAATCGACTACCGCTATCACAGGACAAAAATACATAAAATCACGCAGTTTTTTACTACCTATTCGTACTACTTTACACCTCCCGGATTTACATACACCGCCCAGAGCAAAATCCCTTCCTATTGGCAGCGATGCAGGACAAATTTCTTGATTCTGAAAGGTAATGTTTGATTTCGAAAGAAATGCCCAGGTATGTCAATCGGAAACCCAATCGATCCCCTGGAAAATTGTTTCATTGACCGACTGAAAGTTTTAAATAAGTTTCCCTTCAGTTTTTTCAGAATTCAAATATCTGCAACCGCCCTAATTGGTAACAAGCCAGCTTGAAACTCAGTGCGAGTGCCATCTAAGAACGAAAAAAGCCAAAATTGATATTCTATCACAGAACGGGAATTGTCACGATGTGCACGTTGAGGCCAAATTCAGCAGTGCATGTTCAAAACACAGCAACACTGATGCTGCCTCCTCTAATCTGTCTCTATTCCATATATTTATCTCCACAGCCTCAAAAACCAGTCCAGTCTCAGCAGTTGAAGGTTTACTAGTGGAAAAAACGAGTAAGTAGAAAAGAACAACAGTTGCACTGCTCGAAATGCTCAAAAATCAACACCCTATGGCGAGTGGCGAAATCATGTGTTCAATTCATTTACCAGATGGATTCTAGTTTTCTAAGTAGAGTAGAATGAAGCTGGGACACCATTTTCAGCTGGTCAATAATTATTGCATATAAATCTCAATTTTTTCAAAGCAACGTTAGACGAAGGAATAGAGGTTTTGAAAAGAAGCGAACCGATTTTTTCAGTATCAACTGAACGAGTATAGTAGATCTTGTAACTACAAGAAATTTGTTGAATTTGCCTATAAGATAAGGAGCTACCTGAATATTGTTACCCAGTCATGTTTCAAGAACAAGGTTAGCCATGTTATAAAAAAGGTAGTTTTGTGGCTACTTTCTTCCGAAATACTTCTCAAACAGAATGCAGAAATCGTCTAGAGAACCTCTCCCCTTATGAACCGTCCGCAATTTCCCCGGATTTACAAATGAAATTCGTTGGAATCGAGTTTTGCATGGAAAATTGTGCGATGAACGTCAGGCTGTACAAATGACGAACATCTGTGCATTTTGTGGGCGGCCGCGGGTTAGCCTGAACAAATCGAATCCGCGAACGTCAATCGCGGCAGGGTTAGCCGCCGGCATGAGTGTGGTGATGGCGCTGGGTGGGGTTGTGCTGCGAAAGTTCAAGGCACGGGCGAGAGCGGTGCGGCCAAAAGGACAAGGCAGGCGAAGGGGTCTTCGTCGGACCACCGAGTCGCTGAATTTTGACAGCTGGCATGAAAAACAAGTGAAAAACAAAAACGAAGAAATGACATTTCAACACATCGCGTCACAATCAACAAGTACGACTGGGCTCGATTTCCATTGGAAAACTCGAGTTCAAAATCAAAAAAGATATATCTGTCCGATGGGTGGAATTAAAAGGGAAGAACTTGACATTCTGATCGTTATGCAATTGTTATAGCTGCTAGAACCATTTATTTCCCGAATTTTAGCGCAGTACTGAAATCCTTTTGGTTCCCTCAGCAGATGACACGGATCTGCTGATAATGAATAAGCTCCGTTGGTATTTTTCATCATCGGAATACGCCACGCTCAGCTCGTACGATGCTTGTGAACCTAACTGTGGGATGAGAAGATGAAAAGGCTGTGTTTTTTGAGGTTCTATCAACGAAGACGTCGACACGGATAGACAAGGTTCCTGTAAGCGTCGTGACAATAAAGCAGTGCTATTTATCCACACGCAAACTTTGAATAAAATCAATTCCCCGAGCAACGTAGCGGCAGTGTCGGAATGGGTAGCTAAAAACAAAAATTGAAACAAAAAAATTAAAACAAAAATAAGCAGAAAAAAACTAAAATTCAAAATTCAAATAAAATTTTTTTCGAGTTTTTACGAAATCCGATAGACCGAAATCAGCAACAGTTATTTGCTGGAAATACCCTTTCAGGTCCGGTGATTGAAATGAGAAATGTTTCGTGTAGGAAAACTTCGAGGTAAATGCACCGAAACAACGTGGTCATACTCTCCATTGAGCAGAAACAGAAAACAGTACAGAAAACAAGACCGGAAACTACAGAAAATAGAAATGCCCATGAAATTCAGAATATCAACGAAATTCCAAGCCACAAGCCCGGCAAAATGCCCACGAAATTTCGCCTGACTCGTTTCTTGGTTGGGCAAAATGGTGTAGTGGCAAGTGGCGCTGCTTACCGCCCGTGCGGTCCGCGTATCCAATCGGGTTCGTGAGCAGTTCGACATTTCCATTTGACCGGGATGAGATTTGACTTTGGATAAAGATACTGACTTGTACAACTTGAGTATTACTTAAAGGTAATAAATAAAAATAACAAAAAAAAATTCAGGAAAAACTTTGTAATGACGATAATGATGAAGCAATTCAAAGTATGTGATGAACAAAAGGGCCAAATATAATTTAATTTGGTTGCATATAAAGCATAATTTTTAATTTTTTTTAAATTTAATTTTATTGTGCAATGTTCAGTGAGTTGTTGGTTGACCTCCATAAGTGATTGTATAGACCAAATCGCATTCAAAATTCCACTACAATTCTGTTTCTTTCTTAAGGAGGTATGCGGGGCACCCTAAAGAAGGAGTAATCTCCAAAGTTCGTAATTTTGACATGATTTTACTGTGCCTTTATGTATGACAACGTCTACGTTGTGTGTGAGTTCTTCCCCAACACGAGAAGGAACCATCCCTTGGAATGCGCCACATTCCCTGCTATGAAATCAGATATTTGTTCAGCATACTTTGGCTATAATTCACTAGAATAGCGAAAGTGGACGGCTTATTCAGAATGTCCTAATAACGTTCCGCCTGTACTACACAGCATTCGACAATGTGAAGACCTTTAGAGAATGGTCTTTGAGGAAACGGCATTTAATGAATAAGCGTTTGCTTAAATAGCCATGTCATCTATGACAAATTCGTGTTCAATTGTCTATTTGCGGCGCCCGTTGGAAGCTTATGCACAATACAACTGCCCTAAGATTGACTATATACACCGTAACAGGCACAGGACAATCAAGTTTGGCGAAAGTGTTGCAAGATGATTCCTGAATGTATAAGCCAATGGGAACTATCCTTGGCACTGTAACCGGAACCCGTGGCTTGGAAGGACGTTTTAGGGAGAAGGGGTAAGAAGAAATGGGGTTAGGGCCTATAGGCGGGTGAACAACCCTCTAACCCAGCCCCAAATAGCGACCTGACCATCCTGCTGTGTTCCTCCTTCCACAGTAGCTAGCTTCTGGGTCATTAAAGGCAGCGATCACTATGATTTGAGGACGGTGATGACGCCATTAACTATCAGTGGTGGAAATTAAGAGGCGGTTCTAACCACACACGTCAGCGCTCTGAAGGGTCCAGTTCACTAATGACCTTCAACGCCGTCATCAGCACACCGCCCTCCAGCTATCGTGATCACTGCCTTTTAGCTTGCCGACTGCAGACCTTGTACAAAAGATTGGTACCTCTTGATTTATACCTAACTTTCACCATAACCTCTGCAAGGCATCCACGCAAAACATTCTGCATAGAAGGGTTTCAGTAGTTGAGGGATGGCTAAGGGCAAAGCCTGTCATGTCAAACCCATTCTGTGTCAAATCTGACAGCTATCTAACTCGATCAGTTCATCTACTGTGACAGCAGGCCTAAATAGGCACGGCGATGCCGCGCCGTTTCCATAAACAATATTTCAATTCAAAGAAAGATCACGCTTCCAACTGCTATTACCTTATT